TTTTAAAAAACACACTAGTTTTCAGAGCAATTTCAGGTTCACAGCAAAACTGGGCAAAAACGACAGTTCTCACATGTACTTTCCCTCTCCCACCCCACCCAGACTCCCCCACTATCCACATTCCATACCAGTGTGGTCCATTTGTTACAAATGAAGAACCAACTTGGACACGTCGTTATCACCAAAGTCTAGAGTGTAGGTATGCATGATTCATTCTGTATTGTGCATTATATGTACATATTATGTTATGCATATTTTGCCACAAAAAAAAGAAAGAACTAAGTTCAAGTTTTGATTCTTTTTTTCTGAGCCTGCTTCATTATCTATAAAATTATTTATTAGTTGTAACCATCTACGTATCCTCTGAGCTAGTGCAGAATAAGCACTCAAGAAGAGATATATTAGTACTACTGCTACTTCATCAGCACAGGATTGTTATGAAATATGTTACCATATATGAAACCCTTTTATGGGTTTTGATCTCTCTATAATGACATGTTCTACCCTTATAGCATCATACAGAACAGTTTCACCTCCTTAAAAACTCCATGTACCTCCAACAACACCTTTTTTTTTTTGGAGACAAGGTCTCACTCTGTGGCCCAGGCTGGAGTGCAGGGGCATGATCATGGCCCACTGCAGCCTTGACCTCCTGGGCGCAATCGATCCTCCCACCTCAGCCTCTCGAGCAGCAGAGACCACAAGCACGCACCACCATGCCCAGTTAATTTTTGTATTTTTTGTAATCAGGGTTTCGCAATGTTGCCCAGGCTGGTCTAAAACTCCTGGACTCAAGCGATCCACCCACCTTGGCCTCCCAAAGTACTGGTATTACAAACGTGATCCACCGGGCCTGGCCTGAAATGACTCACTTTAAGCCCAGACATGCAGAGAAGCTGACACAGCAGTTGAAAAAGGAAATCTGATCTATGAGTCACAAATTAAGTAAATTCCCAAAACATTTCAAGTGGGCTTCTCCGGATACTAAGCTGAGCTATGCTGGGGAAGTCTAATAAGACACAGAATCTAGAAAACAATATTTGTCTTCACCTTCTCATCTTTTTTATGGCTGTCAAAAGCTGTCCCCTCCTATCCCTCCTATTCCTTTCCTAGTTCAAAACACACACACACACACACACACACACACACACACACACAATCTTGAGATTTTCCACACTGAAACCCTAACCTTGATGATCCAGGGCATATTTTTTATTGTGACTATGGGAGGAAAAGAGGCCCACTGACATTCAGTGGTAAGGGTTACAAATTCTAGATAGCTTGCCAAATTCAGAACAGTCCTACAAATGTGTCCCACATCCTGAATGGCTTTTGAATGCCCTATTCAACATTAATATAGATAAAAAGCTGTTCATATTTAGCTTGGCCTTAGAACCTCACTCCATTTCACAAATAATCGCAAATTATTTTTTGTACAATTTTAATATATATTTAATTTTCCAGGATAGCAATCACCTTATCAACCAAATGAAGAGTATACTTTGTTTTGTTTGGAAATCTATATTAGAAAGTCCTACCACTAAGGCAATATCAGCCACCTAGATCAGTCTCTACATTTGTAGTTATTGAATTCAAGGCACAGGCAACTATTATTCTATGTCTTTTAATGCAGTCATGTCCAAATATTTATATATTGAAATATGTATTACTTTATTATAAATTACTTTTATTTTATTCTTTATATTATAGTTAGGGTGTGAACTGGTATTTTTCTTTAAAATATTGAAGCAGGTTGTATGTACCTATGAACTTCATTTCAGGATAGTAAAGGGGTCATTACAAAGTATTTGCTAAAAAAAGAGAAAATGGAATGTGATAGAGCTGAGAACAGTGTTCTGCATGATGAATTTAGATGTCTGAAAGAATACTGAATTAACTTTTGCTTATCTATTGCAAAGGAACTTTGAAAGCAATAAAATGAGTCCCAGGCATCCGCTGGCCAATTGGGGGATAGTCTTTCCACCTATTACATATATTTTTTGTTAGCCAAATTGTATGTTAGCTTTGTCTCCTTGCACAGAATAAGATTTCTTGAAAATGGGAATCACAGCCCACATGGCATGTCCTCTCTTCTCTCTGCTTTGCATTTCACCACTCCACTTATTCAACCCCACTAAGTAACCATCTATACTGTCTTTCTCTCCTGTTCCCCATCATGAAAATGGAAATATGGCAACTAAACAGCACAAAGTTATCATCAAATAAGGCCTATATAAAAAAGAGATACCCAGAACTTCTGTATCCCTGATAAAACTTAGCCAAGTACCAGATATTAAAGTGCCATTAATACAAACATATTCACTGAAATAATTCAAATTCTATTATTTCACTTCATGGTTTTAGTTTTCATACAATTGATGACATCAAGTTCAATTACTAGGAAACTTCAGGTTCATATTTTAAGAGAAAATCTGCTAGAAGAGGGACTGTGAACTTCACTTAATAATGCTAAGAATGGCCAGGCACGGTGGCTCACGCCAGCACTTTGGGAGGCTGAGGCAGGCAGATCACCCGAGGTCAGAAGTTTGAGACCAGCCTGGCCAACATGTTGAAACCCCATCTCTACTAAAAATACAAAAAGGAGCTGGGTGTGATGGCGCATGCCTGTAATCCCAGCTATTTGGGAGGCTGAGGCAGGAGAATTGCTTGAACTTGGTAGGTGGAGGTGGCAGTGAGCTGAGATCGCACCACTGCACTCCAGCCTGGCACCTGGCAACAGAGCAAGACTCTGTCTCAAAAAAAATTAAAATAATAATAATAATAATGCTAAGAATTACAGTGAAAAGTAGCATGAGTTACAATTAACGGCCAGGTGCAGTGGCTCACGTCTGTAACCCCAGCACTTTGGGAGGCCAAGGCAGGCAGACCACCTGAGGACGGAAGTTCAAGACCAGCCTGACCAACACAGAGAAACCCTGTCTCTACTAAAAATACAAAAAAAAAAAAAAAATTGGTGGTGACGCATGCCCGCAATCCCAGCTACTCAGGAGGCTGAGGGGAAGAAATGCATGAACCTGGGAGATGGAGGTTGCAGTGAGCAGTGATTGCACCATTGCAAACCAGCCTGGGCAACAAGAGCAGAGCTCCGTCTCAAAAAAAAAAAAAAAAAAAAAATTAACTAGGGTTAATTCTGTATATTTGAAGCATAGAAAGTGAGGACAAGCAAGAGTGGCAAGAGATGGGGCTGGAGAAGGACAGAGGATCCCAGATCATGCGAAGCCTCATACTACAGACAAAAAGGAGTTCATTTTTACTCTTAAAAAATTTTTTTTTAATTTTATTTATTTTGAGACAAGAGTCTCACTCTGTCGCCCAGGCTGGAGTGCAGTGGCACGATCTCTGCTCACTGCAACCTCCACCTCCAGTTTAAGCCATTCTTGTGCCTTGGCATCCCAAGTAGCAAGGATTACAGGTGCCCATCACCATGCTCAGCTAATTTTTCTACTTTTAGTAGAGGCAGAGTTTCTCCATGTTGGCCAAGCTGGTCTCGAACTCCTGACCTCAAGTGATCAGGCCGACTTCAGCCTCCCAAAGTGTGGGGATTACAGGTGTGAGCCACCACTTCCAGTCCTTACTCTTAAAACAATGTTAAGAGCAATGCTCATGACCAATATTCCAATTCCAATTCAATTTCAATTTTTAGTAATTACCTGTTAAAAAGATTTCTTGGCCAGGTGCAGCAGCTTATCCTGTAGTCCCAGAATATTGGGAGGCTAATGCAGGTGAATTGCTTGAGACCAGGAGTACAAGAACAGCCTACCCAACATGGCGAAACAAAAAAAAAATAAAAATACAAAATACAAAAATTAGCTGGGCACGGTGGTGCACGCCTGCAGTCTCAGCTACCAGGAAGGCTGAGGTAGGAAGATTGAATGAGCCTTGGAGGCTGAGTTGCAGTGAGCTATGATTGTGCCACTGCACTCTAGCTTGGGTGACACAGCAAGACACTGTCTCCAAAAAAAAACCAACGATTTTTTTGTTGTTGTGAAGAACAGTTTGGGCTGGACGCAGCGGCTCACACCTGCAATCTCAGCACTTTGGGAGGAGGCCAACGCTGGCGGATCACCGGAGGTCAGGAGTTCAAGAACAGCCTGACCCACATGATAAAACCTGGTCTCGACTACAAATACAAAAAAAGCCAGATGTGGTGGCGGGCACCTATAATCCCATCAACTTGGGAGTCTGAGGCAGGAGAATTGCTTGAAATGGGAAGGAGGAGCTTGGGGTGAGCCAAGATCAGGCCATTGCACTCTAGCCTGAGGGAGAAGAGCAAACTCAGTCTCAAACAAACAAAAAAACGGATTGGAAGAAAACAAACAGGCGACGCAGTAATTAGAACCCAATTGCAATAGGTCAGGCAAGACCTATATTAGGGTGCTGATAGAAGGTGACAGTCAAAACATAGGACATAATATGAAGAGGATTTATTGAGGTACGAGATGGTGAAGGATGGTCTCAAGGAGTAAAAACAGTTCACTGCACATACGTGCAATGTCTCAAAATTAATCATTTGTACGTATAAAGGAACATCTCTCAAATGAGGCCTGTTAGAACCTAACAGCATTTGTTCTTCGTGGTTTCTGAAAACAATACAAACCAACTTTCCACGTGAGATCACAGGGCGCTACTAATGCTGGGTTCCTAACTCAATCATACACTTTCCGTGCCAAGTAACAAGGAATTGAGGAGTGTCCCCAAAAGTAACAGTCCCGCCTTAAAGCAATCCTTCCGTATTTTTTACCTAAGAGTAATGGCCAGAACCTCGCTTTTACAAGAATAAGGCGAAATCACAGGACATCACAGACATTGCCCCTTTCAGCTACAGTGGGTGGCGAAGAGGGTAAAAGCCTCAAAGCAAGGGGCGGACAAGCCAAGCTTGTGACAGCAAAAGCGAGACGCAGAGACCACAAAAGATGAAGCCCACGCCCAGAAGCCATGAGCTGGAAAGGCCATGCCAGGGGCCCAAGACATATTATTACCTTTCGGGGACGTGGTTTCCGCTCTTCTTGGCTGAGGAGTGTCCAGGAAAGTCGCGTCCCCGACCCCAGCCACTGCCGGGATGATGCCATTGGCTCATGTGGGCCCCAAGAAGCCGCCCACGCAATGCCAAGCCGGCCAGAAGCGTCACTCCGGCGCCCTCAGTGCCAGGATACGACTCTACTCCTAAAGAGACTCGGAAGCCACACACGCAGAGCTCCGGCGTCTCGCTATTGCGCATGTCGGTCGTGAGGGCGTAACCACGCAGGCTTACTGAGACGCTTGATTTGTAAACAAGACTTTGGTGGCTACAGCGCCCTCTTTAGCCAGAGGCTGGTAGCACAGGTCAATGAGGGTGTGTATAGACCCTTCAGAATTCAAACAGTGTGGCACAGGAATGTCCGTCTGTCCCCACCCCGTAACTCCCCCGAGCATCACCTCCCCCACCCTTCTTTGTGTGTTCTAGATATTTACAAGTGCTTACATTCACATTTTGCATATTGTGTATAAATATTTACTTTCACACATATATATGTTCTCTATTTTTATACAAAAGGAACAACTAAACATATTCTACAATTTATCTCAAACACTGATTTTCCCAGTCAATTTATGCATACTTACATTCTATTTTTAGTGGCTATAGGGAATTTATTGGATTATCAGTAACTCAGCCAGTTCAATGTTAATGGACCTTTTGTTGTTTTCAGGTTCTTTTCAAATCTTGTTACAGACAATGCTGCAATGTGAACATCCTTATACACATATACAGCTATATCTAAATTCCTAGAAGTAGAATGTCTAGAATGAAATGCATACAAACTTAAAATTTTGAGAGATGCTACCTAATTATCCTCCAAAAATAATGTACGAACATCCACTCCCATCACAGCCGAACTTTTATTGGGTTCTATCACTTACCAGGTATCATGCTAGAAGTGGACAGATGTATTTAGGTTTTGGCAAATACTAAAAATAACTGAGAACAGAGCTCAAGTCCAAAGTTTCCACACAGTCTCAAGCATAAAGATCTGTACCTGTTAGAAAAACGTTGAATTCTGCCACAAGTGGAACAGCAAAGGAACAGCATGCACTATAGCAGCTCTGAAAACGGAAGAGAATACTAAATTTCAGATTAAACTGTAAGTAATTAGGATTGTAGATTTTTTTAAGTAATTTTTACTTCTTACTTTCTAATTTATGGAAGTATCTTACATATATTTTCAGTAATCTTTGCAATCATTTTAGAGTTGGGTGAACCGAGGATCAGAAAAGTCAGAGTTATTGAATAAATGAATGTTAATAGAGCAAGGCCACTAGCTTTATTAACACTTTTGAGAAAGGAATATTCTAACCAGTTTTAAATACATAAACATTTACAATTCTGAAAATTTCCACATCATTAAAAATATGTCAATATTCATAAATTGTTAACTGGAAAAAGAAAAAGACATGTTAGCTGAACATAGCAAACCTACAATTAGGAATATTCAATTAGTTGTTGTTGTTGTTGTTGTTGCTGACACGGAGTCTCACTCTGTCACCCAGGCTGGAGTGCAGTAGCACGATCTCGGCTCACTGCAATTTCTGCCTCCCGGGTTCAAATGATTCTCCTCCCTCAGTCTCTCAAATAGCTGGGACTATAGGCACACACCACCACACCTGGCTAATTTTTTTGTATTTTTAGTAAAGATGGAGTTTCACTAAGTTGGCCTGGCTGGTCTTGAACTCCTGATCTCAAGTGATCAGCCTTTCTCTGCCTCCCAAAGATCCGGGATTACAAGCATGAGCCACCACACCCAGTCCACATTCAAATTTGACAGTCAATTATAAAATATTCTGTCCAGGTGCAGTGATCCCAGCCTATAATCCCAGCACTTTGGGAGGCTGAGGCAGGCGGATCACTTGAGGTCAGAAGTTTGAGACCAGCCTGGCCAACATGGTGAAAACACGTCTCTACTAAAAATACAAAAATTAGCCCAAAAATTAGCCAGACATAGTGGCTCACACCTGTACTCCAGGCTACCTGGGAGGCTGAGGCAGGAGAATGGCTTGAATGCAGGAGGCTGAGGTTGCAGTGAACCAGATGAAGGCATATTGCACTCCAGCCTGAGCAACACACCAAGACTCCAGCTCCAAAAAATAAATAACACAATATTCTTTTGTAATTTATGAAAAAATAAATCCAATAACTGAATAGTGGCCCAAAACTACAAATGGTACAAATGTCTATAGATATGACAAGATACAAAACGTGTCATAAGTTTTTCAGAAACTAGAAAAGCTATATTGGGCTTACACTTTCAGTCTGCTAAAAGTCACAACACTGGGGTTAGAACAAACTCAGTTACAGTTGACACAACAAAACCCAGACCTAGGCAGAATAGGGTTTCTACAAAGTATGGGATCTGACAAAGAGTAGGTCTTTAGATGAGACTGAGTCCAACATGAGGAAGAAGAATGCCTTCACAAGTGTACAGTACTCTGGGGTGGAAATCACAGGAGCAAGGCATACTTAGAGCACCAAACAGCTAAGCAGTGGATACTGACAAGTCTACCAGTATCTGCTAGGGCCCCAGATACCATATCGGAGTTTGAGGGATTCCAGTCTTCAATAAAACCAGAAAGAGACTATGGATAGAACAGAAAGGGCCTAATGGGTAGAAGGACTGGTTATGTTACACCAAGTACCAGTCATACTGATGGGTGCAAAATGCAGGGAGTAGGTTTCTGAAACAACACAAAGCCCTAACTATAAAAACTGAGGCTTTAGGTCATGGTAGGACTTAATGCTAAGTTCCAGAGTGTTGTGCTCAAGCTTTTTAGGATCTTTGTCCTACATGTAAGATTTATTTTAGAGGTTAAAATGATATTAAGACTGAAGGCGATTGTTAAGTGGCTGGAACTATGGACAGAGTATCATTACAGAAGCTGGGGACCAAGAAAGGTCAACCTATGATAAGCATTTGCCTAACTAGAATTGAATGTTAGAACTGAATATTTTAATAAGTAAACACTTTATTACTATCAGAAATAATTTTACTATACTCCTCCCACCTTATACCACCAGTATAATCTGTAGTAGCTATGGATTCCCTTGATTTCCATTGGAACATAGAAAAAATAGACACTAGTTTGGCTTGCAGATACTTAGCGTGTATTAGTCTCACATTACATACAAGCATAAATGCAGGCTATCTGAGGTATGAAACTAAGCTGAAAGGAGAAAATAAAACTTCAAAACATTGTATAGTTTAAGCCTATATCTATGCTGCCAGCCCTTGCCAAATTTCTTCTCAGATAAGCATCACCCACCCACATACAATCACAGAAAAAATTCGTATCTCATAATACTAGAAGCATTATTGGAAGAGATGAGAAAATAGGTCTATAAATGCAATATTTATCTTCAGAGGTCCCATCTTGAGTTTATCCTCTTGTGGGCTCTTGGCATTCTGTACCTTCTCACACATACTAGAAAATTTCCTCAGTAGATCAATTCAGGGTCAGACGTGGTGGCTCACGCCTGTAATCCCAGCACTTTGAGAAGCCAAGGTGGGCGGATCACCTGAGGTCAGGAGTTCAAAACCAGCCTCACCAACCTGGTGAAACCCCACCTCTACTAAAATTACAATTATTATCTGGGTGTGGTAGTGTGCACTTGTAAGCCTAGCTACTCAGGAGTCTGAGGCAGGAGAATTGCTTGAACCCCGAAGTTGGAGATTGCAGTCAGCCAAGATTGTGCCACTGACCTCCAACCTGGGCAACAGAGTGAGATTCCATCTCAAGNGTGTAGTGACGTTTTTAATATTCAGCTGGGCATGGTAGCTCCCGCCTGTAATCTCAGTGCTTTGGGAGGCCGAGATGGGAGAATCGCTTGAGCCTGGGGAGGTCAAGACTGCAGTGAGCTGTGACGGTGCCACTGCACTCCAGCCTGGGCAACAGAGCGAGATTCCACCTCAATAAAAAAAAAAAAAAAAAAAAAAAGATCAATTCAGGTGTCTCTAAAAGCTTACCTCCAAGGTAAATGATTATATCCATAGATTTCCTCCCCCAAACCAGCTGATTCCACACAGAAATCACCAGCAACTTGACCCTAACTCATTTTACACAGTTATAAAAGAAGTTAGTGAGAAAAGCACTAACTAGAAAAACAAAAACCAAAGCAATCCAGGTCAACTTGGGCTGACTGCAGACATCTCTTTCTTTCTTTGAGCACACAGCACAACTCACCACAGTGCCTTTTTCACACACCCCTTTTTGATTTCCTCCACAAAACCTATCAGGTCAAGATAGTTCACGATGTTTCAAAGTAAACAGCCATTATGAGAAAAACATGCAATATGTCTTACAATATTGTATTCCTTAAAAATATGACAAGGAAAAAAAACATGTAGTAAAACCAGGACATTTAAAAGCAATCTACAGTCCAGGTACAGTGGCTCAAGCCTATAATCTCAGCAGGCTGGGAGGCTGAGGTGGGCAGATCACCTGAGGTCAGGAGTTTGACACCAGTCTGGTCAACATAGTGAAACCCTATCTCTACTAAAAATGCAAAAATTAGTAGGGCATGATGGTGGGCGCCTGTAATCCCAGCTACTGAGGAGGCTGAGGCAGGAGAATTGCTTGAACCCAGGAGGTAGAGGTTCCAGTGAGCCGAGATCGTGCCACTGCACTCCAGCCTGGGAGACAAACGTGAAATGCTGTCTCAAAAATAAATAAATAAAAATAATAAAATAAAAGCAATCTACATTCTATAGACATACTAATGAATGATATAAATGAGGCGATATTACATAAAACAAAATGGAAAAAATACATCACAATTATTTTCTTCAGTGTACAAAAGTCATGGAAGTTTCTGGACTATCTAGCTACATAAAAAATATTGAATTGTATGTTCTGTTAATACAAAATAAGTGTGTGTAATTGTTTCTCACAGAAACCAAAAAATTCACACAAATCTCTTTGTTCCTATACCCTAACCTTGCCTGTTTCCTATTCTCCACTAAATTCAACTCTTCATTTTGCCTGGCCCTTGCACCCAAGCATGGCCACCAGGGAATTCTAAAGGCCCAAGATTCCATAGTGGCTGTTTGCAAGGGAGAGGTAGCTATAAGTAACTGCAACATTGGATCCTCTTATGTGAGAAGAAAGAAAATACCCTGAATGCCTCTCACATATAAAAAAGCAGGATGGCCGGGCGCGGTGGCTCACGCCTGTAATCCCAGCACTTTGGGAGGCCGAGGCGGGTGGATCACGAGGTCAAGAGATCGAGACCATCCTGGTCAAC